TCCTTGGGCCCCTGCACCCATGTGGGAGACCTAGAAGAAGCTCCTGGCTCCTGGCTTTGGATCAGTGCAGCTCCAGCTGTTGCGGCCATCTGGGAAGTGAACCAGCAGATGGAAGACCTTTCTGTGTAACTCTTTCAAGTAAATAAAATAAATCTTAAAAAAAAAAAAAAAGAAACATTGTGACATTTCCTTTCCCAGAGCTATCCTTCGTTTTAGGGACCTTCACCAATATATGCATCCTTTATGCTAATAACTGAATCTGCTCGAAAACATTTGGAGAGAGAACGTTTAATAAAGAAAGCCAATCTTATCCATAACCCTTTCAGACAATGGTGAACTGTTAATTATATTTGAGGATTGTTTCCGGAGAGGTTTTTCAGCTATAACGCTGCATTTTGCAGGTACAGAGATTTCCTGTTTGCATCACTGCTTAAGCATCTGTTTAAAAACGTAGCTATTTTGCGTGAGTTATTGTGTTCTAAAAATTATTTGAATAAGGCTTGAAGTTTAAAAATTCATCTTCTGGAAGCAGTATGTATTCTCCAAGAGTTAAGTATGATTAAAAACTGAGGTGAATGGAGAGAAACAACCTCTAACCCCCATCTCAAAGGTCAACATCATAAAAAGCCATTTCTCTCCCTAAGGGCTCCTGTTGTGACACTTTTCACTGAACACCACCTAGCAGGGTGTGGTCAGTGGGGCTGTCTGTGGAAGAAATGAACAAGGCCTTGTTCACTTCCAGGGATTTTCTTTGTAAACATCATAGCTGGGATCTTGAAGCAGGAGAGCTTTCAGCAAACCAGGGTGTGACCCAGAGAGTGACAGACCAGGGACAGTGGACAATACTGTTGTCTCCTCTGAGAAGCCCGGAGAATCTTGAGTGCCTGTTTCCACAGGTGTAAATGAAGATCGGTGACAATATGCACCCTAGGGGGTGAGGGCAGTGCAGGTAGCTCAACAGGTGCTGAGCCTGTGTCCTGGCAGCCTGGTAAATCACATTACTGATGTCAGTATATAGCAGGTACAATTTTTTTTTTTTTTACAGGCAGAATTAGAAAGTGAGAAAGAGACAGACAGAGAAAGGTCTTCCTTCTGTTGGTTCACCCCCCAAGTCGCCGCTACAGCCGGTGCTGCGCCAATCCGAAGCCAGGAGCCAGGTGCCTCCTCCTGGTCTCCCATGTGGGTGCAGAGCCCAAGGACTTGGGCTATCCTCCACTGCCTTCCCGGGCCACAGCAGAGAGCTGGACTGGAAGAGGAGCAACTGGGACAGAATCCGGCGCCCCTACCAGGACTAGAACCGGTGTGCCGGCGCCACAGGCGGAGGATTAGCCAAGTGAGCCATGGCACCAGCCCAGTTTGTTTGTTTGTTTATTTATTTTATTTGAAAGAGAGACAGAGGTAGAGACAGAGAGAGAGAGGTCTTCCATCCACTGGTTCACTCCCCAGATGGCCTGCAATGACCAGAGCTGCGCTGATCTGAAGCCAGGAGCTAGGAGCTTCCTCTGGGTCTCCCATGCAGGTGCAGGGACCTAAGAACTTGGGCCATCTTCTACTGCTTTCCCAGGTCATAGCAGAGAGCAGGATAGGAAGTATAGCAGCCAGGACTCGAACCAGCGTCCATATGGGATGCCGGCACTGCAGGCCAGAGCTTTAACCCGCTGTGCCACAGTGTCGGGCCCAGCTTTTATTTTTTTTAAGGCAGGTTTTTTGAGACTGTGATAAAAAGTATCCTTTACATTTTGATGCAGTTAATACATATTCTTCTATTTCCTATTTCTATCTAGGGATTTCTAGGGAAATGCGGGGAGAGAAAGGTGTAGGAGGAAAGCATATTGATATAGGGTTTGTCCCTTTAAAACAGGGGTGACAAACAGTTTTTTTCTGCCAAGGTCCATTCAACTTGAAAAGTAGCCTGGTACAGATTTATTGAATTTCCAGTTCCATTTGTGCTTGCCTTGGCAGGGCCAGACCAAATGATTTCATGGGCCTTAGAGAGCTCCTGGGCCGGGCATGCCCCAGCCCTGCACAGGAAGATGAAAGAATGTTTTGCCCATACGTATTTTTCACCCTCTGCTTATTCGTGCTGGATTTCCAATGTTGAAACCTAGCTACAAAGGCCCCAATGCTTCACAGGCAAAGCACAGGGAGCAAACTCCACACTGGGTTGCAAACCCCTGTAGCCCCTGGGATCTCTTGCATTTTCAGACTCTCTCCTCTAATTTTGAAAAATAATATTATGTTAAGAGTTGTATGCGTAGAAATTAACCCCCAAGTGTCATATACTCTGCAAGTCCTTCCGTGTCTTTTGTATTTAATTATCTTTCTGCTTTTCTGATTTGATTTTTAAAATAAGACTTATTTATTTGAAAGGCAGAGTGACAGACAGAAAGGAAGAGACGGGGGGAGAGAGCAAGGGAGCACTTCCAACCACTGGTTCACTCTCCAAATGCTCACAACAGCCAGGGAAGCAGGGGTTCCACACAGCATCATAACCCTCGTCCAAATACCCCGCAGCCTCAGTTCTAGACGTTGATTGATCTAGGGCGGTGTCCTACGACAACTCAGCCAGCACTACACCCGCAGCTGATCAAACACGGAGCAACAAGAAAGGTTTCCCACAGCTACCTCGGCAGTCCGTGCTGCATGGCACCAGTGGAAGCACAGTGAGGTCTTTCTGGATGAGAACAAAGCAATGCTGAGCCTGCAAAGATCTGCGCAGTGTCTGAGTCTGTGACTGAGACAGCTGATGCAAGAAACTGGCTGCTAAGAAACGGCCATGACACAGGCAAAGGCTGAACACCTCACAGCAAAGGATAACCGACCCTGTAACACCATTGAGGTCAAGATCCAGGCCATGGAAAGACTGATTTTACGTAGTACATGAGGAGGCATGGGTGAAATCATGAGCGTCCCACGATGAGAGAAAAGGATGCAATGTAAAAGTGTCCAACTGAGCTTTATAGAGAGAAGCAAGCGGCCCTGACAGCCTGGGCCTCAGATGTGTCAAAAGCACCTGCATGGATGAGAACACCCCTAAGGGAAGGCCCACAAAAGGAATCCACAGTGCAGGCCAGGGCATGGGTCAGGAACCCCCACGCACACCTACACCCACGCACACAACCCCGAGGATGCAGCAACAGCACGTTTCAGAGAAGCAGGGCCCAGGTTCAAGGGGAACCTGGAGGCACACACAGGGTGGGAAGAAAGAGTTCCCGGGTCCGCTCGAAGTGCAAACGGTCTATATATTAACGAAACACGTTCAAGAAACAAACTAAAGTTGAAAGCCAACACACCGAAAACAGCAAAACGCGTTGTGCCCCGAGAGTGAGTTTCTGCGTGGGACCCCAGGAACAGTGACATTTGAGGTCCCCAAATCTGGAACTGCAAGACGAACCAGCTTTCCAGCGGGAAAATACGTGGCGCGTTTTTTGTCAGCACGAAAGGAGGGGGAAGGCACGCGCAGCGTCGCGCTGCGGCGCAACACTGCCATCTTGTGGCCAGAGAAACGGAGGGACGCCCAAACCAGGCGAAAATTCACGCTGCCCTTTTTTTTTTTTTTTTTTTCCTAATACTCCAAGGGCAGGCCTGGCCGGGAGTAGCCTTGTGGAATAAAGAACAAGAACACAATGCACTGGGACCTTCCGAAACGACCCCCGAAAGCCGTCCCAGGCAAGGACGCCCACCGCAGTCCCGCCTCCGGAACCATAGCAACAGCAGCAGGCAGTCCAAACAGAAGGGAAAACGAAGCCTGGCTACGGACTCCAACTACGCGAGGATTGGCGGGGACGGAGCATGCGCATCGGAGCGGAATGAGGTCAGTGCCCATCTTCCTCCAAAAAAGCCCTTGGCTGTTTCCTTCTGTCTGTTGTGGGCTAGGGGGTGGGACCAGTGCTGTCTGCACCTGCCCTTAGGCCGCCCGGGCCACAGAGAATCGCAGCCCTGTCCCTGCAAGCCCGATTTATTGGGTGTCCGTCCCTGACCAGCAGAAGGTGGCTCGTTTCTTTCCGTCTCCTGCACCCCACACTGCGTCCAGCACACTCTCCACTCCGCGGCTGTCATAGTGCACACCTGCCAGCTCCCCTGCTCCCCTCCAGCCGCCTCCCCTGAGGGTTCATGGAGAAGGAGGAGTCAGACCGGTGGGATACTCAGCGTCCCAAACCCCATGGGCACCCTGTACTGGGGCATCCCGCAAATGGAGCGGGCAATCCCACGCTCTTCACGCACGCCCTGCGGCAGCTCAGGGCTCATGATGTGTTTCAGGAACGCAAAGTGCTTCAGCCTGTGAGACAACGCCCTGCTCCCCAGCCCATAACAGAGCCTCGTGCCCAGCACTGCAGGGAATGTGCTGTCACAGGGCACCAGGCCTCGCCTTGTGGCCTCACAGTACAGAAGCTCCATGTGCACGGCTGGGTCTACCGCGGAGGCGCCTTGGGCATATTTGGCAGTTCCAGCCTTTTACACACACGCGCGCGGAAGTGAGGTAGTCTGGCAGCATTCTGGAGTTGGACATAATATAAAAACTCTTTGGTCGACCTGAAAGACAAGGCCGGAATGGGATCTGTTGCAGTCACAGGGTTAGCAGTGCACGGAGCAGTGACAAGCCCAGAGGAAACTCTCAGCGAAGAAAGGTTCTTCAGAGAAGTGCAGAGGCTGGGCCGGCGCCTTGGCTCACTGGGCTGGTCCTCCGCCTGTGGCGCCGGCACCCCGGGTTCTGTCCTGGTTGCTCCTCTTCCGGTACAGCTCTCTGCTGTGCCCCGGGAGGGCAGTGGAGGATGACTCAGGTCCTTGAGGTCTGCGCCCGCATGGGAGACCAGGGGGAGGCACCTGGCTCCTGGCTTCTGATCAGCGCTGCACGCCGGCCGTGGCAGCCATTTGGGAGGGTGAACCAAGGGAAGGAAGACCTTTCTGTCTGTCTTTATCACTAAATATGATGTCCAAAAAAGAAAAAGAAAAAGAAAAAAAAAAAAACAGAAGAAGAAAGGAAGTGCAGAGGCTTCAAGTAGGATTTTACCCAACACATGTTTGGGAATAAGAACGTTCATTTCGCACGACTGTATGGTGGGTCTTCAAAAAGTGCACAAGATCCGAGCACACTGAACAAACATCACAGTGACTGCAGCATTGCATGCTCCATAGTAAACCTAGCATTCACCTCCACTTGCCCGTGAACCTTCGGAAGCCCCTGGCACTTTTCAGGAGCTGATGGAGGCTGCTGCTGTGTGGCAGGGGACACGCCAGGGGCACGATTCCCTGAAGGAGAGTCTGGACAGTGGCTGATTCAAGACCAGGGTGCAGGGCTGGCACTGTGGCACGGTGGGTTAAGCTGCTGCCTGGGATACCTGCTTCCCATGTGAGGGCTGGTTGGAGTCCTACCTGCCCCACTTCTGGCGCAGCTCATCAGGTCATGCACCTTGGAAAGGAGCTGATGAGGGTCTGAGTGCTGGGCCCCTGCAACCTACATGGAGACCCGGATGGAGTTGCAGACTCCTGATTTGGCTTGGCCCAGCCCAGGCATCTGTGGCCATTTGGGAAGTGAACAGTGACTGGAAGGTGGCCCACTCCCTCTGTCTGTCCCTCTTTCTCTGTCCTTCTGCCTTCATATAATCAAGTAAGTCTCTTTTTCTTAAAAGGTGCCCAAGTGCTCACCTGAAGGGAGCCATATTGCTTAGGGGTAGGTGACCCGCAGCTGGGCTGCAGAGGGGCAAGCCCTGCACAGGGGGAGGATGAGGGTGAGACCCGCATCCAGGGGGCTTTGCTGCTGTCAGCGCAGCTGGGCTGAGGCTGAGTCAGCCAGGGGTCAGCAGAACTGACCAGGGTGAGGGAGACACAAAGCAGCCGCAGACTGCGCAGGGTGGCAGGTGTCTCCAGCAGGACGCGGGGGACAAGACTGCCGGTCCTGTAGAAAGCACTCAGGACAGGGCCATCACCCAGGGGTGCGGACGCCTGCCTCCATCACTTGGAGACGTGTCAGGCATGCTCGCCCTTCCCTGACCCCAGAGACAACACCCATGGCTCAGTTACTCAAAGGCACCATTCACCCGTGACTCCCGATTAGACACGCACCCAGGGTTTCCCCCCGACTGTCCGGTGCAGAGGATGGACCCTCGCTAAGACCTCATGCGGCAGAGTAATGAAGCAGCGCGCTGCGGGGCTGACAGGCCACAGTGAATCTGCGGCCTCTGCCGACCTTATCATTCTAGGTCAGCAAGAGAAACGGGAGTCCTTGCCGCTCTTTAGACGTCGGACGATTTCGCGCCCGCAGAGAACCACCCGGTATCACAGCACAGAAAGAGGAGAGGACCGAAAAGCGGGAAGCGATCCTCCAATGGTCACGGACAAGACTGAACCATTAACGTGTAGGCCTCCCACATGTCGGGGGCCGCCGGCAGGACACCCTGGACATCAGCTGCCCCATCGGCCCTGCTCGCGCCTCACCCACCGCCCACTCGGGCGGACACGCACGCCGGGCCCCGGGTCACCTGGCCCAGAATGCACCGGGCGCCCACGCGCAGCCACCCCCACGCATGCGCGCGTGGTGAGGCCCCGCCCCCTGGCGGCGTCCGTCCGCGGCACCGGGACTTCCCGCGGCGGTTGCTAGGATTCCAGGGCGGGACTAACGGCTTCTTTGGTGGGCAGGATCTCCGGGACTTAAAGAGGGGTCTCAAGCGTTTTCTGTGATCTTGCACTCGAGACTGGGCGTTGGGGGGCAGGAGAGGTTCTCGGATTTGCATTAGCAAAGACGGCTTTGGGTCCGTCGCGGTGGTACCGGGTACAACTACCTTCCATGGTGCCGACAAGCCCTCGGCTCCGGTCGTCCTGGCTGCCACAGTTCCGATCCAGATTCCGATCCGAATGCGCCGGAGAAGTAGCGGAGGATGGTTCAGTGCTTGGGGCCCTGCACATACGTCAAAGACCTGGACAAAGGCCCTGGTTCCTGGCTTCGGATCGGCGCAGCTCCGGCCACTGCAGGTGGGAGGGAACCGGCGGATGGAAGACGGACCTCTCTCTCTCTCTCTCTCTATGTAGCTCTCTTAGGCCCTGTGCCTTCAAACAGATAAGTAAACCTTAGAAAAGGTTTCTCTGTGCAGTGCGCGTCCTGTTTCTGGCGCCGCTAGATGGCAGCAACGGATCACGGCGAACTGCGCCCCTCATCTCCCCCGCCCTTCCCGCTTGAAAAAAATAAGCTGAGCAGTTTCAACCCAGAAAAGAGGCTGCTTAGGTTACACTGGGTCTGGGCGGGGGAGCAGGCCAGCCTGGAGGAGAGGCAGCCTCCCACAGGATTCCAGATGCAAACTCACCTGCAGAGGAAGCCCTCTGCTTTCCTGCTGGGCCCGCTCAGAGGGTGGTGCCTGGGCACCGCTGCAGCTGGCACTTCTCCCCTCAGTAGGCTCCTGTCATTTGCCTTCCCAGTTTATCTGGAGTTTCAAGGACCTGCACCGCCGGAGTACTCCTTGAAGCTACCCGCATTCCACTGTCAAGCAAGGGGCCAGATGTGGCTGAACCCAGGAAGCCAGTCTTCGCTGCACTGCTTTCTCCCAGCGGTAACTACGAACTAGATCGTGTGATTATTTCGTGAGGTTTTGCTGGGTCAAGGTGCATTGGAAAGATACTGCTCCATTTGGCCTAGGTGCTTGAACATCTGTTTAAACTCAGGTATGTCGCATGGGGGTTTGTTCTGGAAGTCATTTCCAAGCACTGGAAGTAAGCCTTGGGTCTCTTACTGAATCAGATAGCATGTCCTCCACCAGAGACAAACTTGGCAACTGAGATGGGAAACGGATAAAGCATGAGCCAGGACTCAGAGGTCCACCTCATTTACAAAAATCGGTGGGGGCCTGGTTTGTGGCATGGCAGGTTAAGCTGTTGCCTGGGACACCAGCAGCCCAGATGGCTGCCCACTGCAGTCCTGACTGCTGTATTGCTGACCAATTCCATGCTGCTGAGCCCGGTAGATCAGCAGCAGATGCCCCAAGTGCTGGGGCCCCTGCTACCCACAAGGGGAGCTCCTGGGTCTTGGCTTTGGCCTGGCCTAGGCCTGGCTATTGAGGCCACTGGGGCTGTGAAACAGAGGATGGAAAGTATCTCTCTCTGCCTTTCATTTAATAAATATTTAAACACACACACGCACATCCTTGGGCCAGGAGCTGTGTTCCTTCACTTCTTGCTCCCTGCCCTGTGGTCACCCCAGCCACAGAACAGGGCCAGGCGGGGTGTGGGCAGTGAGCTCTGTGTGGAAGAAGTGAACGAGGACCTGATTGCTTCCAGGGATTTTCTTTGTGAAAATTTCACAGCTGGCATCGGGGGGGCAGGAAAGCTCTCTGCAAACCAGGGTGTGACCCAGAGAGTGACAGAGCGGGGGCAGTGGGCAGTCCTGGTGTCTCTTCCGATGACTCTTGGTAGCCAAGTGCACCTCTGTGTACCTCACTTGCACAAGTGGCAATGAAGGGGGTGACAGCACGTGTTTCAGGGGTGACCACAGTCCAGGAAGTAGTTCAGGCCGAGCTTAGCTTGTGTCCTGGCAGCCGGGGCCATCACACGGTAGTTACTTCCAGTAGCTCCTAGAACGTTTGTAGAGGCACCGGATACTGGGCGGCTTTTCTGAGACTGAGTGTGATCAGAGGGCTCCTGCAGTGCAGGTGCAGCTGCTCTTTGCCACTTCCCCTTTCTGCCCCTGGTAGAAAAGGCCCCTACTGATTGCTCAGGAGATGCAGCCCAGGAAACGCAGGGGAAGGGGGCAAGAGGCCAGAGTCGCCCACAGGCCCACAGTGTCCCTGTGGAAGACGAAAGCATGGTTTGCTCTTCTGTCCTTTTGCCCTCTCTGCTTGCTCCCTGTGGATTTCCAGAGGGCCCTGTTCTGGTGGCAAAGCCCCCGGCTTCTCGGGCTCCCTGCAAAGCCCAGCGAACACCGCAGGGGGCGGCACATCCTCTGCTGCTCACCTGGGAGTTGTTGCTTTTCTGACCCTCTCTGTCCTCTAATTTGTTGTCAGAATGACATTAAATTATGCTAACAGCTGTATGGGTAGAAAGAACCGCCTTCTGTCCTGTCTGTTGCAAATACTTCCCTGTTCTTTGCCTTTTAATTATGTTTGTGTGTGTGTGTGTGTGTGTGTTTTCAGATTTATTTCTATGGTAGCAAATCTGTCTTGTGAGGGAGGCCTCCCTCAACTCCCTGGTACAGAGCTGAAAGGTGCCTGCTCACCCACCTGTCCTGTCACCTGTTTCCCTGCCCCCTCCTTCTTGGGGTCCCAGTGTCCTGACCAAACTCCCCCCTTAAATGCCTGCAAGATCAAGCCAGCAAACCTAAGAGGAAACTTCCAGTGGCCACAGGGTTCAGATTGCACCCAGCTGCTCAGCCAGATGGGAGTCAGAGCCTCCCCTTGCCCCACGCACTACCCTTCACCCCTCCATGCCACATTGCCCAGGAGGCTGACCCAGCAAGGCTGCCAGGGCCACCAGTGTTTGGGGGCTGGGCGTGTGATCCCATATGGGAGCACTGGCTGCCCTGCTTCCAATCCAGCTCCATGTGAACAGGCCTGCACAGGCAGCTGAGAAGGCCCAGTGCTCAGGCTACCACCACCCCTGTGGGAGACAAGTCTGGACTCTCTAGCTCCTGGCTGTGGCCGGGCCACATCTGAGCGCTGAAGCCATTTGAGTGTAAAACAGTGGATGAAGATTGATCTCTCTCCCCCACACGCACCCCCCCAACACTGGGCTCTTCAAAGAAATGAAGCTTAAAAATAGAAAGAAGAGGAGTACTTGAGGACAATCCTAAGGAGGAGAAATGAGGATCAAAGAGAAAATGAAGCTGGGTGAAGGGTCAGTGTACTCAATCCAGGCCTTCTTTCTCTTCTCTTCTCTCCTGTCTCCGTTTTTCGCCAGTTGGAATCCCGGCTGCTCCACTGCAAACCGGCTCACTAATAATGTGCCTGGGAAAGCAGCCCAAGTGCTTGGGCCCCTGCACCCACATGGGAGACAGGGAAAAAGCTCTGGGTCCTGGTTTCAGCCTGGCCCAGCGCCAGCCATTGTGGCCATGTTGGGGAGTGAGCCATTGGAGAGAAGGTCTTTGTCTGTAGCTCTGCCTTTCAAATAAATAAATCTTTTTAAACAAATATACCACAAAACCAAAAAGCACATGCTTGGGATGCGTGTACCCCAAATAGCATGCCTGGGTCGATTCTTTTCTGAGCTCTGGATCCGAGCTGCCTCCTAGTGCACATACCCCAGGAAGGCCGCAGGTGATGGCTGGAGAGTTTGGGTCCCTGCCAGCCACCTGGGAGTCCTGGACTGAATGCTTGGTTGCCAGCTGTCACCTTGCCAAGTCTTGCCTGTTGGTGGCACGTGGGCATTGAAACACTGCCTGGGTGGGTTCTCCCCCCCCCCCCCTCTGACTTAAGTGAAGAATCTTTTTCTAAGGATCTGTCATTGAACACTCACTCACCTGGCGATGAAGCCACTGAGATGTCTGCAGGTTTGTGTTCACGGGGACAGCAGTGCATACTCTACCAAGCCCCTGTTTAGCCCGGACAACGCCAGTCCTCTTTAGGGAGGCAGCCATACACAGGCCCTTCCTGCTCAGTCCTTGAGCCGCCTCCGTTCCTCTTCTGACTCAGGGCTGGGCTGCTGATGGAGCCTGCTAGGGCAGGTGCCTATGCTCAGAGATGCTGGTGTGGCCTGCGCTACCCGCAGAGGGGCCGCGTGCCCACATTTTCATCTTTCCATTTCTCTCCCATCGTCCTTCCATGCCGTGGCCTCTGGTCAAACAGGAGAGCTGCCAGATCACTCATCCAGGAGCTTCAAACTCCTCAGGAAGGGAAAGAACTTCTGGGAAAGATCCTGAGTGTTCAGAATGGGTCGGAGGCTGGGCCTAGGGGCCCAGGTCGTCACAGCTCCCACCCTGGATGGCTCCTATCTTGGCCCAGGGACCAACAGCAGGCACACGGGGCCCAGAGACTGGGGACGAGCGGCCAGGCTGCCAGAGCTGCAACAGGGAGGGACTTTCTCTGGAGCCCTGGTCCCGGGCCCTCCAGGAGAGCCTGCAGGCAGGACAGCCCCCTGGACACCTGCTCCCCACCCAAACATCTTTCCAGTAGGGAAGCTATGGAAGCAGCTCCTCAGGTCAGGAGGCAGGGGGATGGTGATGTCATAGAACTCCTCAGGGCAGGGGCATGGTGATGTCACAGCTCCTCAGGGCAGGGGAATGGTGATGTCCCAGCTCCTCAGGGCAGGGGGATGGTGATGTCCCAGCTCCTCAGGGCAGGGGAATGGTGATGTCCCAGCTCCTCAGGGCAGGGCAGGGGGATGGTGATGTCACAGCTCCTCAGGGCAGGGGGATGGTGATGTCACAGCAGCTCCTCAGGGCAGGGGTGTCCCAGCAGCTCTTCAGGGCAGGGGGATGGTGATGTCACAGCTCCTCAGGGCAGGGGGCAGGGGTGTCTCAGCAGCTGCTCAGGGCAGGGGGATGGTGATGTCACAGCAGCTCCTCAGGGCAGGGGGATGGGGATGTCCCAGCTCCTCAGGGCAGGGGGATGGTGATGTCACAGCAGTTCCTCAGGGCAGGGGGATGGTGATGTCACAGCAGCTCCTCATGGCAGCGGGATGGTGATGTCACAGCTCCTCAGGCAGGGGGATGGTGATGTCACAGCTCCTCAGGGCAGGGGGATGGTGATGTCCCAGCTCCTCAGGGCAGGGGGATGGTGATGTCACAGCAGCTCCTCATGGCAGCGGGAAGGTGATGTCACAGCTCCTCAGGCAGGGGGATGGTGATGTCACAGCTCCTCAGGGCAGGGGAATGGTGATGTCCCAGTTCCTCAGGGCAGGGGATGGTGATGTCACAGCTCCTCAGGGCAGGGGTGTCCCAGCAGCTCCTCAGGGCAGGGGGATGGTGATGTCACAGCTCCTCAGGGCGGGGGCAGGGGTGTCCCAGCAGCTCCTCAGGGCAGGGGGATTGTGATGTCCCAGCAGCTCGTCAGGGCAGGGGGATGTTGATGTCACAGCTCCTCAGGGCAGGGGGATGGTGATGTCAGCTCCTCAGGGCAGGGGGATGGTGATGTCCCAGCTCCTCAGGGCAGGGGGATGGTGATGTCACAGCTCCTCAGGCAGGGGGATGGTGATGGCACAGCTCCTCAGGGCAGGGGCCCTGCCCTGAGGAGCTGTGACATCACCATCCCCCTGCCCTGAGGAGCTGGGACATCACCATCCCCCTGCCCTGAGGAGCTGCTGGGACACCCCTGCCCTGAGGAGCTGTGACATCACCATCCCCCTGCCCTGAGGAGCTGTGACATCAACATCCCCCTGCCCTGACGAGCTGCTGGGACATCACAATCCCCCTGCCCTGAGGAGCTGCTGGGACACCCCTGCCCCCGCCCTGAGGAGCTGTGACATCACCATCCCCCTGCCCTGAGGAGCTGCTGGGACACCCCTGCCCTGAGGAGCTGTGACATCACCATCCCCTGCCCTGAGGAACTGGGACATCACCATTCCCCTGCCCTGAGGAGCTGTGACATCACCATCCCCCTGCCTGAGGAGCTGTGACATCACCATCCCGCTGCCATGAGGAGCTGCTGTGACATCACCATCCCCCTGCCCTGAGGAGCTGGGACATCACCATCCCCCTGCCCTGAGGAGCTGTGACATCACCATCCCCCTGCCTGAGGAGCTGTGACATCACCATCCCGCTGCCATGAGGAGCTGCTGTGACATCACCATCCCCCTGCCCTGAGGAACTGCTGTGACATCACCATCCCCCTGCCCTGAGGAGCTGGGACATCCCCATCCCCCTGCCCTGAGGAGCTGCTGTGACATCACCATCCCCCTGCCCTGAGCAGCTGCTGAGACACCCCTGCCCCCTGCCCTGAGGAGCTGTGACATCACCATCCCCCTGCCCTGAAGAGCTGCTGGGACACCCCTGCCCTGAGGAGCTGCTGTGACATCACCATCCCCCTGCCCTGAGGAGCTGTGACATCACCATCCCCCTGCCCTGCCCTGAGGAGCTGGGACATCACCATTCCCCTGCCCTGAGGAGCTGGGACATCACCATCCCCCTGCCCTGAGGAGCTGGGACATCACCATTCCCCTGCCCTGAGGAGCTGTGACATCACCATGCCCCTGCCCTGAGGAGTTCTATGACATCACCATCCCCCTGCCTCCTGACCTGAGGAGCTGCTTCCATAGCTTCCCTACTGGAAAGATGTTTGGGTGGGGAGCAGGTGTCCAGGGGGCTGTCCTGCCTGCAGGCTCTCCTGGAGGGCCCGGGACCAGGGCTCCAGAGAAAGTCCCTCCCTGTTGCAGCTCTGGCAGCCTGGCCGCTCGTCCCCAGTCTCTGGGCCCCGTGTGCCTGCTGTTGGTCCCTGGGCCAAGATAGGAGCCATCCAGGGTGGGAGCTGTGACGACCTGGGCCCCTAGGCCCAGCCTCCGACCCATTCTGAACACTCAGGATCTTTCCCAGAAGTTCTTTCCCTTCCTGAGGAGTTTGAAGCTCCTGGATGAGTGATCTGGCAGCTCTCCTGTTTGACCAGAGGCCACGGCATGGAAGGACGATGGGAGAGAAATGGAAAGATGAAAATGTGGGCACGCGGCCCCTCTGCGGGTAGCGCAGGCCACACCAGCATCTCTGAGCATAGGCACCTGCCCTAGCAGGCTCCATCAGCAGCCCAGCCCTGAGTCAGAAGAGGAACGGAGGCGGCTCAAGGACTGAGCAGGAAGGGCCTGTGTATGGCTGCCTCCCTAAAGAGGACTGGCGTTGTCCGGGCTAAACAGGGGCTTGGTAGAGTATGCACTGCTGTCCCCGTGAACACAAACCTGCAGACATCTCAGTGGCTTCATCGCCAGGTGAGTGAGTGTTCAATGACAGATCCTTAGAAAAAGATTCTTCACTTAAGTCAGAGGGGGGGGGGGGGAGAACCCACCCAGGCAGTGTTTCAATGCCCACGTGCCACCAACAGGCAAGACTTGGCAAGGTGACAGCTGGCAACCAAGCATTCAGTCCAGGACTCCCAGGTGGCTGGCAGGGACCCAAACTCTCCAGCCATCACCTGCGGCCTTCCTGGGGTATGTGCACTAGGAGGCAGCTCGGATCCAGAGCTCAGAAAAGAATCGACCCAGGCATGCTATTTGGGGTACACGCATCCCAAGCATGTGCTTTTTGGTTTTGTGGTATATTTGTTTAAAAAGATTTATTTATTTGAAAGGCAGAGCTACAGACAAAGACCTTCTCTCCAATGGCTCACTCCCCAACATGGCCACAATGGCTGGCGCTGGGCCAGGCTGAAACCAGGACCCAGAGCTTTTTCCCTGTCTCCCATGTGGGTGCAGGGGCCCAAGCACTTGGGCTGCTTTCCCAGGCACATTATTAGTGAGCCGGTTTGCAGTGGAGCAGCCGGGATTCCAACTGGCGAAAAACGGAGACAGGAGAGAAGAGAAGAGAAAGAAGGCCTGGATTGAGTACACTGACCCTTCACCCAGCTTCATTTTCTCTTTGATCCTCATTTCTCCTCCTTAGGATTGTCCTCAAGTACTCCTCTTCTTTCTATTTTTAAGCTTCATTTCTTTGAAGAGCACAGTGTTGGGGGGGGTGCGTGTGGGGGAGAGAGATCCATCTTCATCCACTGTTTTACACTCAAATGGCTTCAGCACTCAGATGTGGCCCGGCCACAGCCAGAAGCTAGAGAGTCCAGACTTGTCTCCCACAGGGGTGGTGGTAGCCTGAGCACTGGGCCTTCTCAGCTGCCTGTGCAGGCCTGTTCACATGGAGCTGGATTGGAAGCAGGGCAGCCAGTGCTCCCATATGGGATCACACGCCCAGCCCCCAAACACTGGTGGCCCTGGCAGCCTTGCTGGGTCAGCCTCCTGGGCAATGTGGCATGGAGGGGTGAAGGGTAGTGCGTGGGGCAAGGGGAGGCTCTGACTCCCATCTGGCTGAGCAGCAGGGTGCAATCTGAACCCTGTGGCCACTGGGAAAGTTTCCTCTTAGGTTTGCTGGCTTGATCTTGCAGGCATTTAAGGGGGGAGTTTGGTCAGGACACTGGGACCCCAAGAAGGAGGGGGCAGGGAAACAGGTGACAGGACAGGTGGGTGAGCAGGCACCTTTCAGCTCTGTACCAGGGAGTTGAGGGAGGCCTCCCTCACAAGACAGATTTGCTACCATAGAAATAAATCTGAAAACACACACACACATACACACACACACACACAAACATAATTAAAAGGCAAAGAACAGGGAAGTATTTGCAACAGACAGGACAGAAGGCGGTTCTTTCTACCCATACAGCTGTTAGCATAATTTAATGTCATTCTGACAACAAATTAGACCACAGAGAGGGTCAGAAAAGCAACAACTCCCAGGTGAGCAGCAGAGGATGTGCCGCCCCCTGCGGTGTTCCCTGGGCTTTGCAGGGAGCCCGAGAAGCCGGGGGCTTTGCCACCAGAACAGGGCCCTCTGGAAATCCATCCACAGGGAGCAAGCAGAGAGGGCAAAAGGACAGAAGAGCAAACCATGCTTTCGTCTTCCACAGGGACACTGTGGGCGACTCTGGCCTCTTGCCCCCTTCCCCTGCGTTTCCTGGGCTGCATCTCCTGAGCAATCAGTAGGGGCCTTTTCTCCCAGGGGCAGAAAGGGGAAGTGGCAAAGAGCAGCTGCACCTGCACTGCAGGAGCCCTCTGATCACACTCAGTCTCAGAAAAGCCGCCCAGTATCCGGTGCCTCTACAAACGTTCTAGGAGCTACTGGAAGTAACTACCGTGTGATGGCCCCGGCTGCCAGGACACAAGCTAAGCTCGGCCTGAGCTACTTCCTGGACTGTGGTCACCCCTGAAACACGTGCTGTCACCCCCTTCATTGCCACTTGTGCAAGTGAGGTACACAGAGGTGCACTTGGCTACCAAGAGTCATCGGAAGAGACACCAGGACTGCCCACTGCCCCCGCTCTGTCACTCTCTGGGTCACACCCTGGTTTGCAGAGAGCTTTCCTGCCCCCCCGATGCCAGCTGTGAAATTTTCACAAAGAAAATCCCTGGAAGCAATCAGGTCCTCGTTCACTTCTTCCACACAGAGCTCACTGCCCACACCCCGCCTGGCCCTGTTCTGTGGCTGGGGTGACCACAGGGCAGGGAGCAAGAAGTGAAGGAACACAGCTCCTGGCCCAAGGATGTGCGTGTGTGTGTTTAAATATTTATTAAATGAAAGGCAGAGAGAGATACTTTCCATCCTCTGTTTCACAGCCCCAGTGGCCTCAATAGCCAGGCCTAGGCCAGGCCAAAGCCAAGACCCAGGAGCTCCCCTTGTGGGTAGCAGGGGCCCCAGCACTTGGGGCATCTGCTGCTGATCTACCGGGCTCAGCAGCATGGAATTGGTCAGCAATACAGCAGTCAGGACTGCAGTGGGCAGCCATCTGGGCTGCTGGTGTCCCAGGCAACAGCTTAACCTGCCATGCCACAAACCAGGCCCCCACCGATTTTTGTAAATGAGGTGGACCTCTGAGTCCTGGCTCATGCTTTATCCGTTTCCCATCTCAGTTGCCAAGTTTGTCTCTGGTGGAGGACATGCTATCTGATTCAGTAAGAGACCCAAGGCTTACTTCCAGTGCTTGGAAATGACTTCCAGAACAAACCCCCATGCGACATACCTGAGTTTAAACAGATGTTCAAGCACCTAGGCCAAATGGAGCAGTATCTTTCCAATGCACCTTGACCCAGCAAAACCTCACGAAATAATCACACGATCTAGTTCGTAGTTACCGCTGGGAGAAAGCAGTGCAGCGAAGACTGGCTTCCTGGGTTCAGCCACATCTGGCCCCTTGCTTGACAGTGGAATGCGGGTAGCTTCAAGGAGTACTCCGGCGGTGCAGGTCCTTGAAACTCCAGATAAACTGGGAAGGCAAATGACAGGAGCCTACTGAGGGGAGAAGTGCCAGCTGCAGCGGTGCCCAGGCACCACCCTCTGAGCGGGCCCAGCAGGAAAGCAGAGGGCTTCGTCTGCAGGTGAGTTTGCATCTGGAATCCTGTGGGAGGCTGCCTCTCCTCCAGGCTGGCCTGCTCCCCCGCCCAGACCCAGTGTAACCTAAGCAGCCTCTTTTCTGGGTTGAAACTGCTCAGCTTATTTTTTTCAAGCGGGAAGGGCGGGGGAGATGAGGGGCGCAGTTCGCCGTGATCCGTTGCTGCCATCTAGCGGCGCCAGAAACAGGACGCGCACTGCACAGAGAAACCTTTTCTAAGGTTTACTTATCTGTTTGAAGGCACAGGGCCTAAGAGAGCTACATAGAGAGAGAGAGAGAGAGAGGTCCGTCTTCCATCCGCCGGTTCCCTCCCACCTGCAGTGGCCGGAGCTGCGCCGATCCGAAGCCAGGAACCAGGGCCTTTGTCCAGGTCTTTGACGTATGTGCAGGGCCCCAAGCACTGAACCATCCTCCGCTACTTCTCCGGCGCATTCGGATCGGAATCTGGATCGGAACTGTGGCAGCCAGGACGACCGGAGCCGAGGGCTTGTCGGCACCATGGAAGGTAGTTGTACCCGGTACCACCGCGACGGACCCAAAGCCGTCTTTGCTAATGCAAATCCGAGAACCTCTCCTGCCCCCCAACGCCCAGTCTCGAGTGCAAGATCACAGAAAACGCTTGAGACCCCTCTTTAAGTCCCGGAGATCCTGCCCACCAAAGAAGCCGTTAGTCCCGCCCTGGAATCCTAGCAACCGCCGCGGGAAGTCCCGGTGCCGCGGACGGACGCCGCCAGGGGGCGGGGCCTCACCACGCGCGCATGCGTGGGGGTGGCTGCGCGTGGGCGCCCGGTGCATTCTGGGCCAGGTGACCCGGGGCCCGGCGTGCGTGTCCGCCCGAGTGGGCGGTGGGTGAGGCGCGAGCAGGGCCGATGGGGCAGCTGATGTCCAGGGTGTCCTGCCGGCGGCCCCCGACATTGTGGGAGGCCTACACGTTAATGGTTCAGTCTTGTCCGTGACCATTGGAGGATCGCTTCCCGCTTTTCGGTCCTCTCCTCTTTCTGTGCTGTGATACCGGGTGGTTCTCTGCGGGCGCGAAATCGTCCGACGTCTAAAGAGCGGCAAGGACTCCCGTTTCTCTTGCTGACCTAGAATGATAAGGTCGGCAGAGGCCGCAGATTCACTGTGGCCTGTCAGCCCCGCAGCGCGCTGCTTCATTACTCTGCCGCATGAGGTCTTAGCGAGGGTCCATCCTCTGCACCGGACAGTCGGGGGGAAACCCTGGGTGCGTGTCTAATCGGGAGTCACGGGTGAATGGTGCCTTTGAGTAACTGAGCCATGGGTGTTGTCTCTGGGGTCAGGGAAGGGCGAGCATGCCTGACACGTCTCCAAGTGATGGAGGCAGGCGTCCGCACCCCTGGGTGATGGCCCTGTCCTGAGTGCTTTCTACAGGACCGGCAGTCTTGTCCCCCGCGTCCTGCTGGAGACACCTGCCACCCTTGCGCAGTCTGCGGCTGCTTTGTGTCTCCCTCACCCTGGTCAGTTCTGCTGACCCCTGGCTGACTCAGCCTCAGCCCAGCTGCGCTGACAGCAGCAAAGCCCCCTGGATGCGGGTCTCACCCTCATCCTCCCCCTGTGCAGGGCTTGCCCCTCTGCAGCCCAGCTGCGGGTCACCTACCCCTAAGCAATATGGCTCCCTTCAGGTGAGCACTTGGGCACCTTTTAAGAAAAAGAGACTTACTTGATTATATGAAGGCAGAAGGACAGAGAAAGAGGGACAGACAGAGGGAGTGGGCCACCTTCCAGTCACTGTTCACTTCCCAAATGGCCACAGATGCCTGGGCTGGGCCAAGCCAAATCAGGAGTCTGCAACTCCATCCGGGTCTCCATGTAGGTTGCAGGGGCCCAGCACTCAGACCCTCATCAGCTCCTTTCCAAGGTGCATGACCTGATGAGCTGCGCCAGAAGTGGGGCAGGTAGGACTCCAACCAGCCCTCACATGGGAAGCAGGTATCCCAGGCAGCAGCTTAACCCACCGTGCCACAATGCCAGCCCTGCACCCTGGTCTTGAATCAGCCACTGTCCAGATTCTCCTTCAGGGAATCGTGCCCCTGGCGTGTCCCCTGCCACACAGCAGCAGCCTCCATCAGCTCCTGAAAAGTGCCAGGGGCTTCCGAAGGTTCACGGGCAAGTGGAGGTGAATGCTAGGTTTACTATGGAGCATGCAATCCTGCAGTCACTGTGATGTTTGTTCAGTGTGCTCGGATCTTGTGCACTTTTTGAAGACCCACCATACAGTCGCGCGAAATGAACGTTCTTATTCCCAAACATGTGTTGGGTAAAATCCTACTTGGAGCCTCTGCACTTCCTTTCTTTTTCTTCTTTTTTTTTTTTTTTTGGACATCAGAGTTAGTGATAAAGACAGACAGTAAGGTCTTCCTTCCGTTGCTTCACCCTCCCAAATGGTTGCCACGGCCGGCGTGCAGCGCTGATCAGAAGCCAGGAGCCAGGTGCCTCCCCCTGGTCTCCCATGCGGGCGCAGACCTCAAGGACCTGAGTCATCCTCCACTGCCCTCCCGGGGCACAGCAGAGAGCTGTACCGGAAGAGGAGCAACCAGGACAGAACCCGGGGTGCCGGCGCCACAGGCGGAGGACCAGCCCAGTGAGCCAAGGCGCCGGCCCAGCCTCTGCACTTCTCTGAAGAACCTTTCTTCGCTGAGAGTTTCCTCTGGGCTTGTCACTGCTCCGTGCACTGCTAACCCTGTGACTGCAACAGATCCCATTCCGGCCTTGTCTTTCAGGTCGACCAAAGAGTTTTTATATTATGTCCAACTCCAGAATGCTGCCAGACTACCTCACTTCCGCGCGCGTGTGTGTAAAAGGCTGGAACTGCCAAATATGCCCAAGGCGCCTCCGCGGTAGACCCAGCCGTGCACATGGAGCTTCTGTACTGTGAGGCCACAAGGCGAGGCCTGGTGCCCTGTGACAGCACATTCCCTGCAGTGCTGGGCACGAGGCTCTGTTATGGGCTGGGGAGCAGGGCGTTGTCTCACAGGCTGAAGCACTTTGCGTTCCTGAAACACATCATGAGCCCTGAGCTGCCGCAGGGCGTGCGTGAAGAGCGTGGGATTGCCCGCTCCATTTGCGGGATGCCCCAGTACAGGGTGCCCATGGGGTTTGGGGACGCTGAGTATCCCACCGGTCTGA